TTTTCCTGTAATATGTAAGTATAATTTTTCATCACAAACTTGCTTTCAGAATATAAGCTTACTTTTAATATTGAAGTAATGGTGAAGTATACATTCATCATCATTCTTGTATGCATCCCAGATATATAATTTTTTGTAGATAAATGATATAATGTGGCACATATCTTTCAGATCTTTCTTTGATGCACTTACATAAACTTTATGCATTTATAGAATACACAGCATTATATACCTGCATAAACATACATTTTTATACATAGCAAACATTCTGTACATGTATTTTTTAGATACCTGGGAACATACTGTACAGATTATTTGATTTGCTCAACATAATTTATCTTGGAAATATATGCATTTAATTTACAAATCCAAATTTTTAATGGTCATTTTCAGTTTTTGTTTTATCCTTTTATTTTTCAGTTTTATCTTTATCATTGGTATTAGTTCCTAATTTTCTACTGTTACATCATTCTAAAACAGATTGTAACTTTCAGGTAGACTTTGTCATTGAGATATTTAAGCTAAAAAATTTATCAGGTACACATTCAATTATGATTTTTCATCTTTCCTAAATAGTATGTTATTTCTATGTCATAAATTTAGGCTTCAATACAAACTTATGATTATAGAAAAGCATATGGGAAGAGGCATGGTAGTGGTACATGCCTGTAATCCTGTGTACACTGGAGATAGGGGAAGATCAGATTTCAAGGCCAGTCTAGGTAAACCTAGATCTTTGGTGACAAAACCAAAAGAAAAAAGGGCTGATAGCATAGCTCAAATGGTAGAGGGTAAGGTCATGAATTCAAATCTAGTAACTAAAAAAAAACACCACACAATTTTAAGTGAATTATTGACTAGTTAGGTAAACTATGAAAACAGAGAAGCAGCTGGAGAAATGTTTTAAAGGAGATCTTGACTAACTCATTAAAAAATGGCTGGGAATATGGCTTAGTGGTTGCCTTGCATGCATGAAGCCCTGGGTTCGATCCCTCAGTACCACAAAAATAGAAAAAGCCAGAAGTGGTGCGGGTGGCTCAAGTTGTAGAGTGTGAGCCTTGATCAAAAGAAGCTCAGGGACAGAGCCCAGGCCCTTAGTTCAAGCCCTAGGACTGGCAAATAAATAAACAAACAAAAAATAAATAAATAAAACTTTACCAACATAATGAAACAAAGAAATCACAAACAAAAAAAGCAGCATTTCAGAAAAGACATAAAATTAAGTGAAATTCTGTTCTATTTAGGTTTAATGTTCTGTTCATACCCATAAGAACGTTGAAGTAATGTGACTACTATTTTTATTCTATAATAAGCACCATATTGTTATGTTCTTCCAAATAAAAAAGGGACTCAAGTCAACTGAAAATCAAAGTAATATCTACTAAAGAATGCATTTATTTGAGAACACAAACTGGACCATTTAAGCAAGCAATAAGATAAACTGTTGGGCCTATTACACCCAAAAATTGTTAAAATGAAAAGACTGTATTGCAAAATAAGCTCTATTTTCACTTCTATAAAACAGTTAAACGTTAATAGTTCCTAAATTAATAAAAAATATTCTTAAGGAGTTGTAAGATTTTGGAAAGCCAATAACTACCATTGTAAAATGACTACCATCATAGTATTATTAGTAATGTTTCTAGTTAGTATGAACCTTCTGATATAAACTCAACACTGTAGCTTTAATTGAAGTTTGAATGTTATAAACAGTTAGCTGTCTGGCTCTGGCCTGCATTCTAATACCATCAGCAAAACAGAGATGGGAAGCATAAACAAACCTTTAACTAGATTACAGTGTCTAAAATGGCCTAGAAATCCTTCAGCAGAAGCTCCAGTGTGATAAAAGTGAAAGAAAAATATTTTAAAAACCTTTAAATTTGTCATTACAGGAATATGTATTTGATTTAATAAATACTTTGTCACTTAATATTTATTAATGATAAACTTTATACTTCCCACATTTAAATTTTTTTCACATAAACAAAAGTCCCTTTCTCCTAACAAAAATAGTTCTTTTATTAGGTAAGTATATCCCTAGTAAGGAGGCTGTCTAAAAAGAAAATAGTTTTCCTTTTTGAATGCAGAATAATTCCTTTCCACATCAGTAACAATCTGACCATTCTTTTAAGGTACTAACAATATTAGAAGTACAAAGATTAAGTTAATTAATGGTCAACAGATTAGTGAACATTTCTGGACTTGAGTATAAAAAATACCTGCAACTCCATGATTAACTTAAATATAACTTAGCACTCCATCTTAGTTAATATTTTTGTATTCATTTCTAACTTCTATAGTATAGACATTCAGTTTTAATAGAAAAATAAGACTGGGCAACAATGTGAGTATAACACTCATATAAAACAAAACAAAAGAATGTGATCATTCATGAAATCTTCTTTGGTTAGCAAAAGAACTCAGTAAGGCACCGATGTACAAAATTTCACTTTTTCAAGGTTGGTGACTAATTTACATAGCTCATATTAGTCTTTTAAAAAATACACTCAAACTATCTAGTCAATGATTCAAAGTCCTCTAAGAAAAGGTTACATAAGTCAACTAAAATAAGGGCTCAACCACAATTTGTTACATCCAAGTTTGAAGTATAAGCTTTACATTATATTCAATATCATTAAAGATTTTCTTTTCAATCAGGCCCAACTACATTTTAAAAAGATTGGAGGTGAAGACCTTAAGTGCTTGCTTTTTGTCCATTGACCAGGTAACTATAACTATTTGCATTATCTATGTACCACGGGGTTTTTATTATTTTTATCTAAAGACATCCCTTTTTGGTAATGGCAAACATGTTTTATTTTTTTAAGGTCTATTTTCTCAATATACCTTTAAAGGTTTTTAAATTGTTTCATATCTGGCCAAGTTGAGACTCTTAATAAAAGTTGTAATAAAAGTTTACAATTTGATTTTTTCAGAAAAGTCAACAAACTATAAGTATTTGTTAATAAAGGTCTTAAATTAAAAAAAGACAAAGCATAGTTTATGTTAAATCTGTGAATATCTCACCTTTTTTTTTACCTTTGAAGACTTATAGTGAGTTATTCTATTTTCAAGACAGACATAATTCATTGAATTAATTTCAGTATACCTGAGAAAATTGGTTTTCACTTATTTTAACCTGATGAGACTGCTTTCATAGACCAAAAAAAAAAAATCATTCTTAATAAACTCTCCTTCTGAACTATAGATGATTAGAATATTTCCTTAGCATTTAAAGCTGTTTCTAAACTATACAGGCTCTAAATGTACTGGCATAATGCTCACAGGAAGGTAATCAATACAAGGATAAAGTATGAATGGGCATTTGCCTAGTTGAATATCAAAGTACCTGGTTAAAAAGATAAAAAAAATATTATAATTGCTTTTATTTGTAAAAGCAAACCATATAAAAATGAACTCTGGCCAGCTGAATCAAAGTTTTTTAGATAACTGTTTTAAATCCATAATACATGTAGAGAAATCAAAAGTTCTCCATTCTTAGCTGGTCATATTGTCACATACCTGTATCCTATCTACATGGGAACTATAGATCAGGTTTGCAGTTAAAGTGAGGGCCCAGAAAAAAAGTGAGGGTCCATTCTACCACAAAGCAAGGCAAAGCATGTATTCATGCTCACAAGCTATGTGGAGTCCAAAGGTAGGTGGACATCCATCTAAGCTGGCTCCAGGGGGAAAAGAAAAAATCACTACCTTATGTATGTAACTGTAACCCCTCTGTATATCACCTTGACAATAAAACTAAATTTTAAAAAAGCAAAAAACAAAACAACAACAACAAAAAAAAAACTTTGGCCAGGAAGTGGTACTCACATCTGTAATACTAGCTACTCAGGAGGCTGAGATCTGATGATCATGATTTGAAGTCAGTCAGAAATAGAAGTCTGTGAGACTCTTTATCTCCAATTAACTGCCACCAAAAGCTGAAAGTATAGCTGCAGTTCAAATGGTAGAACACTAGCCTTGAGTACAAAAGCTCAGGGACAGTGCCTGTGCCCTGAGTTCAAGCCTCAGGAATAAAACAACAACAACAACAACAAAAAATCAAGACCCTAAAAAACAAAAAAAAGTTGCAAGTGTGAAGTGGCAGGGTGCCCACAGTTAAACAGCAGTATTACTAAAAGTCCATTCATATACTGAAAATATTTTCAACTCTAGTAGTAAAGACCACATTAAAGTTAATCTTCTTTGCAAGATATAATGACGAAAAGTATGGAGTCTGGAAGGTAATACTGATATAACAACATAATACTAGATAATATGAATTCCGCTTTGATTAGGGTTGTTCCACTATAAATACACTTAAAAATGTTAATGGAAGTATATGTTGTACCACAAATAGTTAGAAATTCCAACTTAATGTAACAAAATACTAAGTGTTATTCCATGTAGGAGGATCTCATTTTGAAGCCAGCTCAGGGAAAAGTGTGAGACTCCATCTACAAACAAAAATCCCAAAATGAACTGGAAGCAGGGCACAAATGCTAACGGTATTGCCTAAACAAGTACAAGATACAAGTATAGGGTACTTGTTCAATCCCCAGTACTGCCAACATAGCAAATGAAACACACATGTCATTTTTAACATAAAAAGAAGATTGGCTTTACGCATATTTTATTTTAAGTTGCACATTGGTATACATTTGTTTCTTAGAAAAGGTGAAGTTTGTTTGCTTTTAGTTTCATCCTGGTACAGTATCAAGAAATTTTTCATCACCACCAATAAGCTATCAGGGACTTGATTTTACTAATGCTTTCTAGAGTACAGATTGAGAACAACACTTTACAGTAATTATTTTGAATTAGCAAGTGTAGTAAACCTAATATGATAGAGTACTGTGCTACTTTATAATCATACAATGCAGCTTAAGTAGTCATTGCTTTCCTCACTTGTAATATAGGGACAATAATGCAAAGATCATAGAGAAAGAATGAAATCAAAACTCATCTTAGTGTTGCACATTTGTAATACATGGTATCTGTGATAACTACTAAAACAGAATTTAAGGATGAATATGAAAAAGATCAGAATTTGCCACTCAGGAATCTATTTACTTTCTCTAGATATTAAACAAGCCATGAGAGGCATTACCACTTTTTTCAATTGTGGCTACTATTCTTCTAAAATATACGTATTGAGAAGAGTGCAGTGAATGCTACTTTTTTCTCTGTTTTTTAAATTATATATAAAAATCTTTTTATAAGTAATAAGATGTGGTTCTTTGTTTCTAAAGTACCAATATTAGAAACTTCAACTCATTTCACTAGAGCTATAGAAGAAATAGTGTTTAATTAAGATTAAACACTGCAACGGTTGTGTAACTACAACTTCTAAGTTTTGTCTGAAGTCTTGAAATAATATACTTAGTAAACATACTAAAATTTCTACAACTCCTAAAAATATATACCAGTTCCAACTAAATCATGATGTTAGATTTACTAAAATGCAGTTAAAATACCCAAAGTCTAAAGGAAAATGTACAGTATCTCCCAATAGACCGTAAAAGACACTCTTTTGAGTGCAAAGAAAGAAGAGTTACTTTTGAGAGAAATAATTAAGTTTGCTGAGTCTGGATTTTTTTTTTCCTTTGGGAAAAAATTTGATGAACAGTGTTGGTCATCTTCAAATAAAAAATGATAAATCCACTCTAATTTCACTGTCCAAAGTAAGCTATACACAGAATAGAAATTTCTAGAATACAGTATTAAGTGGAAATTGTTTTCTTACTATTTTACTATTTTAACAGAACACAACAATATCCTTGCTAAACATGTTCTTTTCTACCTAACAGTACCCATTTAGATGATGTAAAATTTATTTAGGTTAGCCAAAATAAAGATATGACCAATACACTTGTGCAACACAATTAAACTGTATTTAATTCTCTTCACAATAAATTGCAGGGGCCATGCTTGCTTTTCATATGCCTAATGCAATGCCTGACAGAAGATGCTTCATAGATGTTTAATAAATAGCTAAGTACAATCTGCTGTGCACATACAATTGAAATTGAGACAAGTTTACAGAGATACGTAAGCTGCACATAGGCTTTCTGGCTGACTTCATGGGATCCCACTGAAGACTAGAAGTAAATCTTCATATCCATAGAAAACTGGAAAGTTGGTAATTGTCTGGGTAAGGACCAAAAAAACAAAGTCAGGGAAACATGTCACCTAAGTATAAGTTGCTTTATAGAAATGGCAAAAGCAGCCTACTCATTCCTACAAGCTAATGCACCATTTACTCAACAAAATGAAATTTAAGTGCATCTTAAGTATGTTTTTACATACATTTTTATCATTGCTTATTGAAAATTAATTACTTTTGTAATGTTTCATCCTATATAAAGATTAGAAAGAAGTAGTTTTTTTACTTATTATGAGTACTGTGGCTACAGTAATTTGATTATTAGTTAGAAAAGATAAGTCAAAGTTACAGATAAAGGAAAAAACTCCCAAGAAAGTAATTTTCATGGCATGACTACCACGAAATTATAGCAGGAAACAAGGGAAAAAGGAAGGAGAAAAGAGTAATTTCATATTCCTTCAATAATGAAATTCAAGCATGTTTAATTCTACAAATATAGATTATGACAAACCATCAGTATATCCTATTGTGCACCAAATATTATACTGAAAATGAGGGACGTAAGTTTTAACAAGAAAATACTTTTGTCTATAACCAGTTCATTAAGACAAGACTCAAAAGCAAACCATTAAAGCACAACATGAATTCTCTAACTTTTTATAAATATGGGTCCTCAATACAAGATTAAGAAATACAATTACTGATTAACTTAAGATTCAGAGGGAGAAAGCATTAAAGAAAGCTGAAATAATTCTTAAAATAGTAATAACTCTAATTCACTAGTGAAATTACTACTTGATTAAAATATTAACAAAAATATATTGAATTTATAAATAGAAAAATTACAGCTGTCAGGCCATGTATCTTCATATTCTTAGAAAAGACATGTCTTCTTATAAAATGTTAGTGCTATCCACAGAATTGAGCCTGATAGTTTCATTTTTGACAAAAGGCAATGAGGTAATACAGCATAGTAAGTATAATGACACTTGAGTTATACAGTTCCTGAGTTGCCCACTTCACAGGCCTTGGAACCTTGGGCAAGCTCCTTAGCTCTCAGAACTTCTACAATATGGAAAATGAAGAATGAATCCCAGGGCTTTTGGCTCTTTAATCCTACCTACTCAGAAGACTGAGATTTGAGCATCACAGTTTGCATAAAAATCTGAAAGCCTGTTATCTCCAATTAACCAGCAAAAAATTCAGAAATACAGGTTTGGCTCAAGTGGTAGAGAGCCAACCTAAGAAAAGAAAATGAAAATGAAGAGTTAAATGCCTCCATGATAGCTTTTAGTTGAAAAATTACCATCCCAAAATATCACTAGTTCTTAATGTTTTAAAAATAAGCCATAATAAAAGCACAATAAAAGGTTTTTAAAGCATAAATCATTATCTGACAGAGAGAAAGTCTGGAATCTTCCAATCATAAAGGGTTACCCTGGGGGTGGTAGGGTAAGGAATGCTTCCAAAGGAAAACGCAAAGTAAAGGCATTAAACTCAAGACTATAAATTTTAACTCAGCTGCCAACTGGGCAACTACTACTACAATTACCTATACAATTTGCTTACTTAAAATTGATTTCTTTAGTAGGTTCTACTTCTATCTCTTACAATAAGGTTTCTGAGGTTTTAATGTGGGGGAAGAAAATCTTAGGTGAAACTACAATGGTATTATTGATGTTAAGAGAAAAACTTGAACTTGGTACAGATTTCTGTTTATGTGCACCATTACAATTCAGAGAAATCTAAGAAACGACTAAATCTATAAGAGGAATGAGAGAATTATGAACATATTGTTTACTATACAGCTTATTTTTCCCTCTATGTATAAATGTATGCTTTTTAAAAAAACACAATATTTAAGATTTTAAAGAACAAGTTTCTACATAAGTAATTCTTTCAGTCACTAAAAGATGAACATATTTTGTCTTGCTTAATTATAAAAAAACTAAGATCAATAGCATCATCATATCTTCATATCCTTCCTAGTTACTAAATTGCAGCTTTCCTATTACCAGTCTGATAAAAATATTGCCACTTTACAGAAGAATATTTTTGTTGACATAAAATATGGGATAAGAAACACTAACACTGTTTTTAATAAGTGGGAAAAGAAAAAAAAATGCTTGTGTGAGAGAAAAAGAGAGAAGGAAGGAGGGAGACTGGATCAGGAAAGAGGTAATGAGGGAGGGAGAAGAATGTGTATATAAATTTGCAAGGAAAGGGATAAATGTAAATATGAAATAAAATACCACTTCCCAAAGTAAGCCCTAAGTAAAAGGCCTACACTAGAAATAAACTTTCTAGCTTTTGTGAAATACAGCACTGAAAGAAAGCTATTCAGTAAGAACATACCATGCAAAAAAAGTAAAATATTTTTCATCAAGATTGTTATTCTATAAACCTAAATCTGGGTTTATCTTTCCATTTGTATCTAAGTACAACGGATACACTATAACTTCATGATGTCTTTGACTCATGAAAACATATGATAGAAATCAGTCCCCTTTTACATAGTGAACAATTTGTTTTAGTACCCTGAAAGATGAAAAACTCATCTCAATTTACAACGGTAAATAAATAATTCATTTAAAACTGAAAGTGGTACCAATCCAGCAAACTATTGATGGAAAGGTTTGGCCTTCCATGAAGCCAGAACAACATAAAGTTTTCAGTGGGGATTACTTGTTCAGACAAGTTACAAAGACTAGAAAAATACCCAGTTAATTATGAAATAGTTCATCTTCTCAATTTATGGAAAATAAGTATCAGGAATGTATGTGGGAAAAGACAATACCAGCATTTAAACTTTAAGCATTTTCAGCTTTGAACTTAATAGACTCAAACATGAAACACATATTTAGCATAAAAAGCAATCATACAAGTAAAAACTTAACCAAAGGCCTCTATCAATTAAAAATGTGAAATCTGCTATGCAATTCAGACAAAACGAAAAATGATGAGATTAAATCCCTAACGCAGAAACCAGTCAAGTCCTCCAACCCTCAAGTCCACATCCAAACCATACAGTAGCAAAAAGGGGAAAACACTCAGGTCTCCAAATGAAAAAGCAGTTCCAATACAATTCAGATCCCGACATTTTCCCACTCAGAAACAAATGCAGTAGAGCTTTCCTTGGGGAAAGAGAGGGGGGAAAAAGCTCTCCAAATGAAAAATTTTAAGTGACATCTAGAAAGTGTGCCTCTTTCTGTCTCTTTCCCTGGCGCCTCGTTGGAAAAAGGAGGGGGTTGTTTTTGTATTCTCCCCCACTGGAGCAAGGCACAATCAGATGTTAGGTGGAGAACCCACTTTTGACAACAGCAAATAAAAATAAAAGTGCCCTTCCTCCCCTGACAGGATGGACACTCCAGCTCACACATCCCTCCTCACTCCAACCCCTCCTTCACTCCCCCCCCCCTCAGCACCACCCCCTCCTCACCCCGGAGCTCCACTGCGTATGAGGTTTGGTGCTACTGTTGCCCCGGAGTGAAAGTCAGAGCCAGAGGAAGGCAATGAAGCCCCCACAGATACACTTACCTTTCCTGCCCCCCACTTTTGAGTGCCTTCCCTGGAGCTGTGGAGGATGACACAAAGGGTAATAAAGGGGGGAGTGGAGGAGGAGGATGCGAAGGAGGAGGAGGAGAGCTGGGGAAGTGGCTGCTCCTGGGTGTAGTGAGATGTCTCCAGCCAGGGCCAAGCAGCAGCAGCAGCAGTAGCAACAGCAGCAGCAGTAAGCAGCAGCAGCAGCAACAGCAGCAGCAGCAGCAAAGGGTCTGTGTTGCTAAGAGGCTTTTGGTCTCTTTCTCTCCTCCTCTCACGGCCAAAGAGAAGGGTGGAGGGGGCTCGGGAAGGAGACGAGTGGAGGGGTGAGGGGGTAGGAGTCGTGGATGGGGGTTTTCGAAGAAGAAGAAACTCCTTCCCCTTCTCTCTCAGGCTCAATCCCCCTCTCAGGCTCCGAGCTGGAGGGTGGGGGAAGGAACTCAGCCGCCTTCCCCCCACCCCCCTCAATTCAAGGTTGATGTGGGGTAAAATTAGTGTCCTGTCCCTTTAAAAATAGAAATAAAAGGTGCCCCCCCTCTGCCACTGCCTCTCTCTTCATCATCAGCTGCTGCTGCTGCTGGGGTCTCTCTGCTGGGGGGGGGAGGGGGGCTCGGGTAGAAGAGACGGGAGGCACTCACTGCGCATGTCCCGCTCTGACGGGAGGCTGGTTGGTTGAAGGCAGTAGGAGGGGGAGGGGAGGAAATGAGATGTTTTCCCAGAAGGCTTCGAGGCACTCGCGACCCGGAAGACATTGTAGCAGGGGGTAGCGGGGCGGGGGCGGGGAGAGGGAGGAAGTCGCTACTCTTTAACACCCCCAGCTCCCACTTCCCTCCGAAAGGAAAGTGGAGGAACGGAAGTGGGCGTGGACGGAGGCGCGTCGAAATCACGTGCTTGGGCTGGGGGGCGGGCAGGCGAGGTGGGAGCGGCGGCGCTTGCGCGCGGGTCCTGTCGGGAGCCGCTGTGTACGTTTGGCCCCAGCAGGTGAAGGGAGAGGGGGGGAAAAGAAGAGCGAGGGAGAGCGAGCGGCGGAGCGGTGTTTGAAGTCGTTGGATCCCGGGTTGGCTCCGGTAAAAGCAGGGTTTTCTGTGGGAAGAAGTGTGGAATCGTCTGGCCCTGGCTGGAGAGCGAATAGCAAGTGGGAGGATTGAAGGTCGTGCTGACGGGGAAAGAGGCAGGCCGGGCTAGGCCTCCAGGCCGAGGGGAGCTGGGGGCTCCTCGGTCTGGAGACCCCGGCGGGGCGCGGGCGCGCGGGCGCCGCCCCGGGGAGCGCGGCGCACGCCGGGGTGGCCGCGGGGGAGGGCCGCGACGGGCCCGTGCACCGACCACTCTGGGAAGTCTCCGCCGCTGCCCGGTGACTTCCTCCTCCCCTCCTGGCAACCCGTCCGTGTGGGTCCGGGAGGGCCGGGCTTGGGTGGTTTTGCTTATTATGTCGGGTATTATTATTGGTGTCCTTTACTGGAATTCTGGAGGGGCAGGGCCCGGAGGGGGGGAGGGAAGGGCTTGAGTGAAATTTCCCTCCACCCCTCGCGTGGTTGCAGCCGCACCAACACGACTGCAGAGTCTGTAGTGTTGAGTTTGATGGTTGACGGGAGAAAGACATCATCATCTTCGTGTGCTTTCCTAGCGTGTACGTCGGGGGAAAAAAAACTGTTTATTTTAATGTTATGAAGGTGTTGTACGGAGGGGTTACAATTCCACAAGTCAGGTAATGACCGCAGTTCTTTTTTAATAATGTCACCCCTTCCTTCATTTTCCCTGTTTCCCCTGCGAGTCCACAATTTTTTACCTAGTGTATATTGAATACCGTTGCTGCATGTGTTTACCCTTCCCAGTTGTTCTTTTTTTAATATGAAGTAACACTTTCACACTCATTATGTGCAATCTCCGTTAAGACAAAAATTACAAACTTTCGATTATCTTCTGTACTTTAAAGAACCATAGCTAAAGCCTTTTTTAACTTAACTATAAAACATTTTATACTTATTGAGGTATTTAAGTGTTATTGAAATCTGTCATGTGGGTTATTGGGGTACACTGTTAATTACAGTTACTATTTTTGTATGCTTGCTGCTAGTTTTAGGGGATGGATACTATTTATGCATTGTAGTTTAGTGCTTCCATACTTTCTCGTTGTATACAATAGTCATTAAAATTAAGCTCCTCTGCTTTAAATTTTTCTTCATTTGGAAGCCATGTGTATGTAGTACCACAATTAATCTACCTTAATACAGCTTTTAAATCTTTTTTTTTTGTGGTAAAGTACTTAATATGTAGATACTTGCCAGGCAAGCGCTCTACCACTGAGCCACCTTCCCAGCCCCATGTGGATACTTGTATAAAACAAACATATAGGCTTTTGAATAACTATAAATTGAACTGTCTTCACAGAGACTAAGCAGTGACACTTGAGAGTAATCCCTCACTAATTGCTCATTGTTTCCCTCCTTCAACCTTTCCAGATTGTAAATGTCCTGATTTTTGTAACTATTTACTGCTTTCTAGTATCTTTCAACCACCAGTCGTGTCAGCATTGCTAGACAGTGCTTTTGTCTCTATTTTTCTGTGTACAGATTGTATATGTATCACTTTATATATTTTTTCTTATTTTGCTATAGTCTGGCCATATTCATATAGTTGTGTTTCGTATGTCTTTGTTGTGATGTAGTAATGTCTGTAATATAGAATAGTATTTTTAGGACAGAACTACAATTTAGTCTAATATTAAAGGACACTTGCCCACTCGTTTTCAGTTTTTAGCAATTATGAACAGTGCCACGATGAATATTTATACATATTCTAATGCACAACACCATCATGAGTATTCATACACTTTTATTCTAATATACACAAGCATGTATTTTCCTACATTACATATATTAGTCTTCAGTACCCCTCGATTATACCAAACTTTTCTTTAGCACATCTATCATGTTATATTCCCACAGCAGTATATGACAAAGCTAATAATTGTTTCAGTTTAACTAATCCCAATAAGTGTAATTTTCATAGTTTTAATTTACACTGTCCAACTTACTTTTTGAAAAACGTATTGACTGTATGGATTTTTTTCTTGTCTTTTTAATCATCTTGGTAAGAATTTTGTGTCATAATTCTATTTTGTTTTCTATTTTGTCTATTTTGTTCAAAGATGTATAGCATTGCAGCAAATTTCTTCTCAATGCTTGAAGAATTACTCACTTGACCTGTATCTGCTGTGAACAAAAACTTTGTTCACAGGGTGTGATCAGGGTGTGGCTGTGTTGCCCACACTGGCTTCCCACTTGAGACCCTGCCCAGACCCTGCTCAGTCTGTACCTAGGATTATAGGCTAGTGTACCTGAATAAATTTTTACTTTTGTTTAGTGTTGATTTGAACTGGTTCTTGCGTACAAATCATATTGTCTGGAAGTAGGGATAATTTGTAACTTTTCTTTATTATTTGGATATCTTTTTCTTACCTTATTGCTCTAGATACTATTTCAAACACTATTTGAATAAGAATACAGAGAGTGTATGGGCTGGGAATGTGGCTTAATGGTAGAGTGCATTCCTTTCATGCATGAAGCCCCAGGTTCACTTCCTCAGTATCACATGCACAGAAAAAGCCAGAAGTGGTACTGTGGTTCAAGTGGTAGAGTGCTAACCTTGAGCAAAAGAAGCTCAGGGGCAGTGCCCAGGCCCATACTCAAGCCCCAGTACTGACCAAAAAAAAAGAATACAGAGAGTGGAAACTTTGCCTTGTTTCAGATTTTAGGGGAAATGCTTTCAGTTTTTCTCCAATTTAATGTAATGCTGGCGACTGATCTGTCATATGTAGCCTTAATTGAGGCATGTTCTATATAGTCCTTTTGTTTCTTCAGGACTTTGATCATGAGGGTTTTTGTCACAGGCATTTTCTGTCCCTCTCAACTACTTGGCATTGCAGACTTGGACCACCATGATTAGCCCATTTGTTTTTGTTTTTGTTTTGTTTTTTGAGATAGGATCTTTGTAACTTTTTTCCTAAAGGAGCATAATTCCATGGGATTACAGGTATGAGACACCATGCCCGGCCTCTGTTGGGAGTTGTTTTTTTATTATTATTATTGCTTCAATCTAATTGCTTCTTAATGATATATTTTGGTTGCATTTATCTTCTTCGTTCAAATTGGTGGTCCTATGCACTTAAAAATTATACATGTGTAGATTTTCCAGCTTATTGAAATGTAATTTTTTTAGAGTATTCCTCAATGATCTTCATTGCTTTCTGTTGTAATATCCCTCTTTAATATCTAATTTTATTAACTTGAGTCTTTTGTTTCTTACAGTTATTTTGGATAGGATTTATTAATCTGATTATCTTTTCAGAAAACATTGTTTCATTGAGTTTGTTTATGTGTGTGTGTGTGTGTGTGTGTGTGTGTGTGTGTGTGTGGTTATTTTTTTTTTAGTCTCCATTTCAGGATTAATTACAACCTAATCCTTACAATTTCATTCTGCCTACTGATTTGGGGTTTGATGTGTTATTGCTTTACTAAAACTGTAAGTGCATGATTACTTTTATTTCTTTAAAATATTTCTGGGCTTTATTTTTGAGGTAGACACTCTAAAGCTATAAATGTTTAAACTGTCTCAGCTCCTTTCCACAGGTTCAAAGTTAAAAACACTAGACTTCAAAAGACAAGGTAAAATTAATGTAAATAAAATACCTCAACTCCTCATGATTGCATGGTGAAATTACATATTTATGTAGTAATATCTACAGCATACTAGATTTAGTAAGATCTATAAATGACTACAACAATATTTGTGGGAAAAGGTAAATCTATATCATCTATAAACATAATGCCTAAGATTGAGAAGGTATTTTTAGTATATAGTTCAGTACCTATAGTTCAGTTCCAAAGAGCCAGCCAAAATATTTTTATAACCTCTTTTTTTTGTTTGTTTTGTTTTGCAAAGGGCAAATGGGTTCCAAGCCACCTAGTCCCCTATCATAACCTTCCTGGGATTAGGTAGACTTGGGGTGAGGTCTTTCCCACTTTAATCTACTATAGGACAGAGATGACAGGAATGACTATAGAGAACTTAACCTGTGACAAAGATGTATGAGCTATTTTTAAATAAATCCTGTAGAAGCAGATTTTTGATTTTGATGATATTTATCTTGAGGCAGGGTCTTACCAGATAACCTCGGACGATGTCAACTTTAATTTGCCATTTTATTTGCCTCTGCCTCTGGAGTGCCGAGATTACAGCATGGGCTACCATGTCTTGCTACAAGCAGAAACCAACTGCCTAAAAAGGTTTTTTAATTTCATTAATTTGGCTTATATTGTGGAGGAAAATAGGACTTAAAAAAAAAGAAAACTAAAAGTGATGTGTGAGTTAAATTAAAACATGTAATTTTAACTACAAACTAGTTATCCTGTTTAAGTACTTTCCCACTGCCCAATCCTATTAACCCTGTTTCCTCTATTATTAAGTCTTGCTTTAGTATGTTTGTTATAATTGATATTGAAACATTATTCTCAATACAAGTCCATAGTTGACAATAGGGTTTAGTTTTTGTGTTTTTACATTACATCGGTTTTCACAACTCATAATAACCACCATTTTGGTGTCATGCAGACTGGTTTTACTGCCCTTACAGATCTCTTGTGTCCCTTTTCCTTTTTCTTGAACATTTGACAGCCACTGATGTTTTCACTGTTGCTGTAGTTTGGCCTTTTCCATAATCTATGAAGTTGGAGTCATAAAATGTGTAGGTTTTTCCAGTTGCCTCCATTTGCTAAGCAGTAAGTAATCTAAAGTTCCTCCATATTTTTTCATAGCTTGATAACTTCTATGTATTTTTAATCCTGAGTATTACTCCATTGTATACCTCTACCATAGTTTGTTTATACATTCACCTATTGTTTTGGTAGTTACAAATTTATTACCTGAATGTAGTAGAAGCAATCAGTAATGCCAGCTACTCAGATCTTAAGTGATCAAGTAGCCAGTGCCAGCCTGTCCAAACCAGTCTGGAATAGACCAAATCTGTTTTCAAAAGAAGTGTGTGTATGTGGGATGGGATACAGGTCTATATTGGACTTTCAGTTAT